AAAAAAAAAAAAAAAAAAAAGAAAGATACAGTACTTTGAGCTCTGTAGTTGGAGAGTGTGCATTCTTATACTCACCACTCAAAAAGTTTCAGGATAGCTGGGTGGTATGGTGGGTGCTTGTAGTCCCAGCTACTTGGGAGACTAAGGCAAGAGGATTGCTTGAGCCCAAGAGTTTGAGGTTGCTATGAGCTATGATGCCACAGCACTCAACCCCAGGGTGACTGAGTGAGACTTTGTCTCCAAAAAAAAAAAAGTTTCAGGAATCAAAATCATACAGATGATGTTTTCTGACTAGCATATTGGGTTAAAAAAATAATATAGAACTCAAGAAAAATCCTTGTACATTTTCATATTTTTTAAAAAGAGCATACTTTAAAATAAATATCAAAAAAGAAATCACAGGCTGATGCCTGTAATGCTTTGGGAGGGTGGATGGCTTGAGCTCAGGAGTTTGAGACCAGTCTGAACAAGAGTGAGACTCCCTTCCTACTAAAAATAGAAATACTAGCCGGGCATTGTGGTGGGTACCTATAGTCACAGCTATGTGGGAGGCTGAGGGAAGAGGATCAGTTGAGCTCAGGAGTTTGAGGTTGTTTTGAGCTATAATTCCTCAGCACTCTACCCAGGGCAAAAGAGTAAGACAAGACTCTGTCTCAAAAAAAAAAAAAGAAGAAGAAGAAGAAATCATAATGAAAATTAAAACCCCAAAGTATCTAGAACTGAATAATAAATATTACATATCAAAATTTGTGCACTGTAGCTACAGTGATTCTTAAAGGAAAATGTGAAGCTTTAAATATATTAAAAATGCATAAAGGAAAAAGAAAAGTAATAAATGCATCCAGGCAATGAAAATCCTTTTCTAGAATACTCTTTCCTAGATGTATACATGGCTGACCTCTTCCTGCCTCTGCCCACATGTTGTTTCACCGTGAGGCCCATTCCACTTAAACAAGGAAGCTTCATGCCCTTAATTGCCTTTTTTCTGCCATTTTTTTCTTTCAATAAAAAAAAAAATTTTTTTTTGGGGATGGATCTTGCAGTGTTGCTCAGGCTGGTCTTGAACTCCTGGCCTCAAGCAGTCCTCCCACCTCAGCCTCTTAAAAGTTCTGGGATCACAAGTGTGAGCAAACCCACCCTGCTCACACCTCCACCCCCACCCCCAGCCCTTTCTTTCATTTTTTTCCTGTGGCTATTCTCATTTAAAACACTGTCTGCTTTGCTTTTTGATTGTGCTTATTGTTTATTCTCCTTTGCCCTCTAACAAGGATGTAATCTCAGTGAGGTAGGGACTTTGTTAGCATCCTTTGTTCGTTGACCTCGGGCACCTAGAACAGTGCCTGCACAGAATGGGCACTCAGTAATATTTGTTATTGAAGAAGTGAAATCCATGAAAAGTGTAAATATCCAAAGCGGATGTAAATTTGAAAATTTGGATGAAATTAATGCCTAGAAAAATATCACTCTCCCTAAAGTTGACTCAAGAAGACAGAACACAAGTAATCAAAAGCCATGAGATCAATTGAATTTTATACTAATTTTTTCAGATAATTAAAATAGTGACCACTTTTATTCTCTTTATGAGGCCAATATGACTTTACTATTAAAACCAGGCAAGAATAATATTAGAAAGTAAAATACGTAGTACACATGCTCAAGATTTATTTGCAAAAATCTTAAGTACTGACAAATCAAATCTCACAATGCATCAAAATGACAAAACTAATCTATGGGGTTGGATGCCAAGACAATAGTTACTGGGGGCCAGAATAGTAGTGATCGGTAGGGGTCACAAAGGGAGCTTTTGGAGTACTGATAATATTTTATTTCCTAATCTGGGTACTAATTACATTAGTATGTTTACTTCTTGAAAGTACATTCACCCAAACGTATCTATGCACATTTTTTTTTTTTTTTGAGACAGTCTCTCTTTGTCACCCTCAGTAGAGTGCCATGGTGTTATAGCTCACAGCAACCTCAGACTCTTGGGCTCAAGCTATTCTCTTGCCTCAGCCTCCTGAGTAGCTGAGGCTATAGACACCTGCCACAATGCCTGGCTATTTTTTTTTTTTTTTTAAAGACAGAGTCTTACTATGTCACCCTTGGTAGAGTGCTGTGGCGTCACAGTTCGCAGCAACCTGAAATTCTTGGGCTTAAGTGATTCTCTTACCTCAGCTTTCCAAGTAGCTGGGACTACAGGCACCTGCCACAATGCCCGGCTATTTTTTTGTTGTCTTTGTTGTTTGGTAGGCCCTGGCCAGGTTTGAGCCTGCCAGCCCTGGTGTATGTGGCTGGTGCCCTAGCCACTGAGCTACAGGTTCCAAGCCAGTATGCACGTTTCCATACATATATTTTAATTAAAAGTTTACTTTAAAATAGTACAATATGATATCATAAATATGACAAATGTATCGTGATCAGTTTGGATTTATTCTAGGATGGCAGGGTGTGTTGACATTAGCAAATCTGTAAATATTTTCTACCGTGTTATATATTAAAGAGAAAAATCCTGATAGTGTTGATGGCTGAGAAAGCCTGATAAACTTCCACATCGATTCATGATAAAAACCTCAGCAAATGAGGAACAGAAAGGAGTATCCTTAGAAAGTGTGGCAGAGACAGTTAACCAAATAGTCCACGTGCTCCCCAGCATTTCCCAGTCTCCATTGTAGGTAGATTGGGGCCAGGTGACTAATTCTGTCCGGTAGGCTATGAGTGGGAGTGACATGTGTCACTTCTAGGTGAAGGCGGTTGAGCCGATGTTCCTCCTCCATCCCTCTCTTCTCTTGCTCCAGTGACCTTGGAGGCTGTGTATTGCAGATGGCATAGATTAAAGATGGAGTAAGGATGCTTCACTCTCATCAGACTTTGCGTAAGCAAGAAATAAACCCTTATAGTTTTAAGCCTCTAAGATTTTGGAGTGTTTGTGTTACGACACTGTAGCCTATCTTATTCTGACTATATAAAGGGCATCTAACAAAAACCTCCAGCAGCATTCATATCTGGGGGTGAGAAGTTAGAGCCACTTTCTGTAAGATCAGGAATAAGAAGGACAACTGCTGTAGCTGGTTCTGTTTAACACGAGGGTCCCATCCAGTGCAGTAAAACAAGAATGGGAGTGGAAAAAACAACAATTATTATCTGGAGATAAATTGATTATTTTTGTAGTGAACTTTTATATAAGTAAACAAGTTACTTATAAGAGGTATATACATTTAAACATTACTGTGTGCCAACAACCAAAATTCAGAAAACTTAAATTTTTTAAAAGGCACCATTCATGGTTTAATTAAAAACTATGTGGTAGCTAGGAATACATTTAGTAAAAGTAGTGTAGGATTTTTATGGAGAAAATTATAAAAGTTTATTTAAAGACCTTTAAAGAAGGTCTAAATACGTGGAGAGTGATAAAGACTGACTAATAAAATTATGTCATTTCTCTGTAGTTTGATCTCTAGAGTCAAGGAAATTCTAGTTAAAATCCCAACAGAGTTTTAAAGGAACTGGTCACGCTAATTCTTAACTAAGTATGTGTGGAAGTGGCATGGTCAGGAATAGCCAAGACACTCTTGAAGTAGAAGAACAAGGTGGAGACATTGATCTGGCAGATATTAAGACTTCTGTGAGGTTTTATTAATTACAACACAGTGGTATCATTGGTTCAGGGGCAGATGTCTAAAGTAGCAGAAGTAAATCGCTAGAAATAGACCCAAACATTTATGAAAATTGGACATATGACATAAGAGATTTTATATAATTTTAAAAGGATGCACTTTCCAATAAATGGTGCTGGGACAATTATTTATTTGGTATGGGGGAAAATAATATGTATTTAACCAGTTTTTGGTAATTAAACTTTGGTTGACTTTTTTATTTTTTTAAGTTAAAAAAAAAAGTTTAAGATAAAAATATTTGAGGAGCCGAAACATTTTCTTTATTTTTAGAAATGGAGTCTCACTATTTTGCCCAGGGTGGAGTGCAGTGGCTATTCACAGGTGTGTTCATTACTCACTGCAGCCTGGAACTCCTGGGCTCAAGCTTTCCTCCTGCCTCAGCCTCCCAAGTAGCCTGGGACACCTGGCCCAACTGAATTTTTTCTTTTTATTTCCCAGATTCAGTTTTCTGTCATTTAAAAATAAAATATATACAGAATCTGCTCTAATGTTTTTTTTTTTTAAGTGGGCCCAAGAAAATGTCAACTTAGGAAAATTATTTCTAACATGTGTGATTGAATGCTTAAATCCTAATTTAATTATAAAGAGCTCTTAAGACTCAATAAGAAAAAGTTGAACCTTTGTCATTTTTCTAACATGATGAATTTTGACTGATGTTTTAAAACTTTTCCTCAGCCAGCAGCTGTGACATTATGTGTGTTTATGAAAGGTAAAAGACTTATTTGTCTTCTGTACTTAAAGCATGTCCCAGGTGGATGTGGATTCAGGAATTGAAAATATGGAGGTTGATGAAAATGATCGGAGAGAAAAAAGGAGCCTCAGTGATAAGGTTGGTAAGCAGTGAAGCCCTTGCCCCAGTTTCTAGTGCAGGTTCCATTAGTAAACTCCATTTTGTCTCTCCTATCTGAAGAGAACATGAGGAAATTCTATGTAGGTGATTTTTTTTTTCTTTTCAGGTAAAACAGATAGCCTGTATTACCCTTACTAAAAGAAATATAACTCAGTCTCTTTACCTGATAAAAATCCTCAGTTATTATCATTATTACATGGCCATAGTTTTATCTGTAAATTTAGTTTGTAAAAGGAACTAATTTGGAGCTAGTGAGAATTTCTTCTTTTGGTCTTTGCTTTTAAGCAAGAACATCATCACATCTTTGGCAGTATTCTGAGGAAAATGGCTGGGGATTGAACCAAGAATATGTAGGATCCAGTAGCAAGTAGAAGCTTTTTGAAAACATAAGGCCTTTATATTTGATTATCATGTGGACTCAGTTCTGCATATTCAGGGTGTCATAATAACTTCTTATTCAGTAAGTTATTAGGAATCCTTTAGGAATGCATGTTTACAATTATTGGAAGTTGGGCTGTAGCTTCCTATTGGTGCAGTGTTTTATTTTGAAGAGTTTTTTGTGTACAAAGTTCTTTCATATATGATACTTTAACTCTCATACAATGTAATGGGAAATGTTAAATTTTGGGAAATTTGCTGGAGGAAAATTGATGATGTACCAAGAATGTTAATCTGGTTCTTTGGAGTTCAGAAAAGTGAATAGATGGGATATTTATGTGATTTATCACATTTATTCCTTGGTAACTATTTTTTGGTTTTGATACTTTATTTATTTTGGGGACAGAGTCTCATTCTGTTGCCCAGTGGCCTCAGCCTAGCTCACAGAAACCTCAAACCCCTAGGTTCAAGTGATCCTCTGACCTGCCTGGGAGTTGGGGCAGGAGAACGAGCTCTGAGCTTGGCCCCACGTGCCTCTGATCCAAGTAAGAGACCTGAAGAAACCTATCTAGGATTTTCCAACTTTTTTTTTTTTTAATTATTTCTCATTATTCTTTTAGTTTTTTTTGGCCGGAGCTGGATTTGAACCCACCACCTCCAGCATATGGGACCGGTGCCCTACCCTTTTGAGCCACAGGCACCACCCACGTGGTTGGCTCTTTCGCCTCTTGAGCTACAGATGCAGAGCCATTCCTTGGTAACTTTTGGTAATGCCCTTATTCCTTTATGTTTCCCCTATAGATTGTATGGTAAGCTCTGTGAGACTTTAGAAGTTGTATGTCCCTTTAATGTCACAGTGACAAGTTTAGTTTTTCCTTCATGGTGGTTTTAGGCATTTAAGAAAACATATCAATGTTGGCTCTGTGCATGTAGCACAGTGGTTACAGTGCCAGCCACATGCTCCAGGGTTAGCAGGTTCAAACCCAGCCCCGGCCAGCTAAACAGCAAAGACAACTGCTACAAAAAAAATAGCCGGGCATTGTGGCAGGTGCCTGTGGTCCCAGCTACTTGGGAGGCTGAGGCAAGAGAGTTGTTTGGGCCCAGGAGTTTGAGGTTGCTGTGAGCAGTGACGCCAAGGCACTCTACCGAGGGCGACATAGTAAGACTTTGTGTCAAAGAAGAAAAAAACAAAATATCAATGTTAATGAGTTAAATCAGAATAAAGAATTTCTGTTGAAGTGCCTACGTCATGCTTTCTATTTGAAATTAATACTGAAATCTCCTTCCTCACTAGGAACCTTCCTCTGGCCCTGAAGTGTCTGAGGAGCAGGCCTTACAGCTGGTCTGTAAGATCTTCCGTGTCTCTTGGAAGGACCGAGACAGAGATGTCATCTTTCTTTCTTCTCTTTCTGCACAGTTTAAGCAGAACCCAAAAGAAGGTAGGAATCTAGTTTTTTGTCTTATTTCAGAGAACTTACAAGAAAACAAGATACAAGATCCTTGCCCTTCTCTGTTAACCCCATGCACTCTATCTTGCTTTTAGGTTGTTTTGTTTGTTTGTTCATTTGTTTTTGAGACAGAGTCTCACTCTGTCGCTTGGGGTAGAGTGCTGTGACATCACAGCTCACAGCAACCTCAAACTCTTGGGCTTGAGCTATTCTCTTGCCTCACCCTCCCATGTAGCTGAGACTACAGGTGCCTGCCATACCACCCGGCTAATTTTTCTATTTTTAGTAGAAAAGGGGTCTTCCTCTTTCGTAGGCTGGTCTCAAGCTCCTGAACTCAGGCTGTCCACCCACCTCGGCCTCCCAGTAGGTTGTATTTTTTATTACAGGGATGCTTCTTGTTGAGGGTACTGCCGTTCAGTCACTTTTTTCCTTTCCTCTGATCTTGTTGATAAGTTATATTTTGCTTTTGATTTCTACAAAATAAAACTACATTAAAGTATTAGTTTCCATGTCTCAGGGTTGAAGTTTTTTCTTTTGCACCAGGAAGGTGCTTAGAGAGAGCATTAGTTCTTCATACAACATAGCCATGCTTATAACAAAAGAATGGAACTCTTAGCAAGGTACCAGCATTACAGGGCACAATTATTTTTCTTTATAGCAGTCATTTGGAATACGGAAGAGGTAGGGGAGATGTGCTGAAGTGTTTTTCTGCTTATCACTGGACTATAACTGATGCTGGCAACTTTTGTCTGGTTTTCTCACTGATGTTTCCCCAGTGACTAGATGGGTGTCTTGCACAAAATAGTTCCTCAGTGTATACATTTTTTTTTTTTTTTTTGGAGACAGAGCCTCAGGCTGTCCCCCTGGGTAGAGTGCTGTGACATCACAGCTCACAGCAACCTCCAACTCCTGGGCTCAAGCGAGTGTCTTGCCTCAGCCTCCCAAGTAGCTGGGACCACAGGTGCCTGCCACAACGCCTGGCTATTTTTTGGTTGCAGCTGTCATTGTTTGGCGGGCCTGGGCTGGATTCAAACCCACCACCTTAGGTATATGTGGCTGGCGCCTTAGCCACTTGAGCCACAGGCGCCGAGCCCAGTGTATACATTTTAAATGAACGAACACAAGGCAATTGCCTTTCCCTTGCCAATACTGCCTGTCTTCCAGGGAGGGATAAAACAGAAAGTCCTCTGTTTCCCTGATGGATAGACAGACCATGTCTGATTTTACAGGCATCTTACTAACTCTGTTATAGAGGTAAGCTTACCAACTATGTATTTGAAACCCTGCCGTGCGCTACTCTATTTTTCTTCTTTTAGAGGATCACGTTCTGTCACCCAGGCTGGAGTGCAATGGTGCCAACTCAGCTCACTGTAACCTTGAATTCCTGGGCTCAAGTAATCCTCCTGCCTTAACCTCTTGGTTAGGACTGCAGGTGCATGCCACTACGCCCAGCTGATTTTTTTTGTACAGACAAGGTCTTGCGATGTTGCCCAGGTTGGTCTTTGAACTCTTGGCCCCAAGTGATCCTTCTTGGCCTTCCAAAGTGCTAGAATTACATGTGTGAGCTACCACACCTGCTCATACATGTTATTCTGAATGTAAATCTTAATATTTTCAAATCTGTCTTACACATAGAATAGGTATTTTTTTTTTTTTTTGAGGCAGTGTTTTGCTCTGTCGCCTAGGCTAGAGTGCTGTGGCATTATCATAGCTTACAGCAGCCTCAAACTTGTAGGCTTAAGTGATCTTCTTCCCTCTACCTTCCAAATAGCTGAAACTATAGGCATGTGGCACCATTGTTAGCTAATTATAAGTTGAAAAAAAATTTTTTTTTTTTTTTTAGACAGAGCCTCACTTTGTTGCCCTGGACACTCTACCAAGGGTAACAAAAAATTACCTATATGTGTAAGAGATTTGAGAATATTAAAATTTATATTAATATCATAGCTCACACTGGGCGGCGCCTATGGCTCAAGGAGTAGGGCACTGGCCCCATGTGCCTGAGGATGGCGGGTTCAA